TATCGCAGTATGACTGTACTCCTCCTGACCGCAACAGTTATATAATGAAGAAAATTATTATTCGTTAGCAAATTTCCTCTTAATGGTTCTGCTGAAGGTCGGAGAGACAGCTCAGCTGGAAAAAGCTCTTGCTCTGCAAACCTGACACCTGAGTTTGATTCCCAGAACTCACAGAGGAAGAAAGGAACTAATGCCTGAAATTTGTCCTCCGACCTCTACCTGTGTGCTGTGGCATTCTCAAACACACATGTAATAATAAGTAATGTTTGAGTTGAAAAATAATTCTGTTAGAATTCTCTCATCATCCTAAACAAGCAGGAGACTGGCAAGATAGCTGAGCAGGGAAAAGCACTTGCCTCCAAGCCTGAGGACCTGAGTTCAATCCCAGGCCCCACAAGGTGGAAACAGAAAACTGACACTCAAAAGTTATCCTCTGACCTCCATGTATGCATGCACATACCCACACCCACATGCATGTACACACACTCATACACATGCACACACAAGTGCAAATAAAAAATAACAAAATATAAAGCTAGCACATCCATCACCTGGGAATAAAACATGTAAAAGCTGCTGTGCAGCAACTGAGATGTAGGGCATGAGGGCAGGCCTGGGCTATTGTCTGTTAGTATGATGCCTTAGTTTGCTCCAGTATTTTGCTCTGGTCTTGGTAATTTATATGTAACCAAGCCTTCTATTCTTTGTCACAAAGAGTGTTTTTTCTAGGTAACTGTTTTGGTGAGTGCCAAGAACTCACTTTGACTTCATGTACACTGTAGATGTGTATCAGAATGGTTCCTTAATTCTGCGGCTCATTCCTGCCACAATAGCTAACGAGCACCAGCTATGTTCTAAGTGTGCTTTAGCCTGGGCAAGCAGCAGGAAGAATATATATATATATATGATAGATGCAGATATTGTCCTCATAGGGCTTGCAGTCTGGTGAGCTACACAAACACCAAGCAACTGATGGTTTCATTGCCAGTGTGATCGATACTACCAGAGCAAAAAGCAGATGCTGAGGGCGTGACTGGGTTGTTCCAGGAGACTGAGTGCCAACAGGATTGAGAGTTAAATCGGCAAAGGGAAGGAACCATGCAGAGCCCATGTCGGCAGCAAAGAGAGCTGCATAATCAGAGGCCCGTGTAACCAAAGGTCTAGGAGCATGTGTATGTGAAACGGTAGGGAAGAGAGCTCATCAGGCAGCAAGCTCAGCCTGCCAGCTCCAGCTTCGCAGGGTTTCACAGACTGTTCAAACCATAGGTCCTTGACCGTGGAGTTTGCCATGGGAGCATTCGGTGAGGTTGTCTCTTCTGAGTGAGCACTCTAAATCTCTGGCGCCCAGAGCAGTGCCCGGCATCAATCTGAAGAAGGAGCAAAGCGAGGAAGGAAGAAAGGATGAAGAAGGCGGAGAAGGAGGGAGGGGTGGTTTTAGGCAGAAGTTTTGAGATGTGTGTCTTGTGGAGAACACTGGTTGCAATGTGGGTGGGTGGGAGCAAGCTCAGAACATGGGATCTTCTTGGGCTTGGCTGCCCTCACGGGTACTGCATGGGGTGGGGCGGCTTAAACAACAGACAGTTACTGTCTTGTGTTGCTGGAAGCCGGAGGTTCTCAATGCCATCAGGGTTGATGGCTAGAGAGTGCTTCCCTCCTGGGTTGTAGACAGCCTCCTGCTCACAGTTCCTCCCGTGGCTTTCTCTAGGCACTCTCAGGAGGGGAGGGAGATGTGTAGATATTTATACTGAATCCTCTTACCATAAAAACACCAGTCCTATCAGGTTAGGGGCCCGCTCTAGTGACCTCACTTAACTATCTCCTTAAAAGCCCTGTCTCCACATAGTCAACATATGGGGGAACTCCGTCCCCAGTAGGAGAGAAACCATCCAGGAGGTCACTGGGGCTCAGAGAGCACATCAGCAGCTTGTTTGGGGTGTAGCAGTAAAGACGGGGTGACACTGCAAATAGGTCTACCAGGATCACAGGGGGGCTGCCTGAGGAGGGACGTGGAAGGAAGAGACTGATGGGTTTCTACAGTTAACATGCTGGGCGGTAGCTCCCCAAAGATATGTCCAGGACTCGAGAAGTCTGTGCACATGACCTTATTTGAAGAAAGAAAATTGAAAATGTAATTAACTTGGTAATCAGAGATGAGATCAGTCTGGATTATCCAGGTGGGTCTTAAATCCCATTAGTCTCCCTGTAGACAGAGAGGAGAGGACAGCAGGATGGCTCAGTGAGTAAAGGTGCTTGCTGCTGCCTGATGTGACCTGAGTGTAATCCCTGAGGCCACCACTGCCAGGTAGTGGAGAGAGCTGACTCCAGCAAGCGGTCCTCTGACTTCCACATGCTCACCTTAGCATGTACACACACACACACACACACACACACACACACACACACACACACACCACTTTAAGAAAGATGAAGACAGAGAGAAGGTCCCTACACAGAGAAGACTAAGCAAAGACAGAGTCTACAGGAGAGAGCTGGCCAGAAGGAGCCTCCAAAACCTGGAAAGAACAAGAGGTTTCCCCTAAGCGTTTTCGGGAGAATGTGGTCCTGCTGACATCTTCAGTTTGGACTTCCAGACTCTGGAACTATGAGACAATCATTTCTCTCCTTTCATGGTAATTTGCTAAGGTACCCTTACACCACTAACAGAAAGAGCAACCGTGTATGTGATCATGGCTACGTCATCGGTGAAGAGAAGGGGTACTGAAGAAGCTCGGGTCTTCTAGTTTAGATTTACAAATGCGGACTCTGAGGTGGTGTTAAGATGCCCAAAGCTACTTTGGTCTTTCATAAAGACTCAGCAACTGACAGCTATTACCATTATTGTTTGCTAAGGGATCATGTCTTATAAATTGATCAGGTTTTCCTGGAATCTCAGGCTGGCAGATAGGTTTAAGTTCTGCCAATAGCACAGGAACGCTTAGCTCGCGGCAACTCTGCTTGAACGTAAAAGGTCCTGGTACAAAATCCTATTTGTATTTCTTCACCTCGGGCCGATTTCAAATTCATATGCACTCTGAAAGTCTACATCAGATTTCTCCTGGAAGGTCCAAGGGAAGGTCCAACCCTCCCCACCTCCCCGCTCCCCAGGACTCGGTTCGCAGAGGAAGTCCGCCATCTTGTGGACACTCACGGGTCTAACAGCCTAACTCTTAAGCTCCAAAATGAAGATGAGTAGAGATTGGTTTTAATCGCCTACCACTCCCCCCCCCCCCCCCCACACACACACACACGCTCCTTTATCTTGTTAAAAAGGACAAGACCATGGATGGAAAATCCTCCTAGTCTTCAAAACATCTAAGAGGTGATCAATGAGACCACACCTACAGATGACCCCTTAAGCCTTCCCAGGTCATGGAGACAGGGAAAGCAGTGTTTCCTGAAAATCTTTACTATGTGTCTCAAAACCCTGTAGGACAGTGGTTCTCAACCTGTGGGTTGGGACCCCTTCAGGGTTGAACGACCCTTTCACAGGAGTAGCCTAGGACCATCAGAAGACACAGATATTTACATTATGGTTCATAACAGTAGCAAAATTACAGTTATGAAGCAGCAGTGGAAATAGTTTTTATGGTTGGGGGTCACCACAGCATGAGGAACTGGGTGAAGGGGTCACAGCATCAGGAAGTTTGAGAACCACCGCTCCAGAGAAACCCCTTATTTCAGGAATGTCATCTGCTGCGTCCCACAGGTCGAGAAACCCTGGTCTAAAGAATGAAACAGAAGGGAAAACCCTTCTGAGCAGTTTAAAGAAATTTAGTTACAAGGAAAGGGGGACAGTCAAGGACCCAAGTGCAGGATCTGAGGTGACAAAGACTCTTTAGAATAAAAAATGATGAGGCAGATGGTTGTGTAAATGAACCCAGAGAGGAGCTGTTGGAGCGGTAGCTTACACAACAGAAAAAGGCTGAAGTGGTAAACACTTTAATGCCTTTCGTTCTAAGAAGTGCATGAGCAAATGCGTGTTGGAAATGTTGGTTTTGCTGGTGGGAGAGAAATGTAAATATGTATAATACGTAAATACTTTTTACGGTAAGAGGGCATGATGAGAAAGGAGGCTAGCTGCTGAAAAGCTGTGTGTAGTCACTCACTTCAGAAATTGTCACAATGTTTTCCTGGCTCTGAACGTATAGGAGCTTTGGAAAGAAGCACATAAATACTAACCCGATAGGCCAGGCCTAGTGGTGCATGCCTTTAATCCCAGCACTGGAAAAAGGCAGTTCAAGGCCAGTCTGTTTTACATAGTGAGTTCCAGGACAGCCAGGAGTATGTAGAGAGACCCTGTCTCAAAAAACAAAAGAAAAACATTTAAGAAAGAGAGAGAGAGAGAGAGAGAGAGAGAGAGAGAGAGAGAGAGAGAGAGAGAGAGAGAGAGATGCAGTTAGGTTCTCTCTCTCTCTCTCTCACACACACCCACACCCACACCCACACACACACACACACACACACTCACACACACACACACACACACACACTTCTTTTTTCCTTTCCTTTCTTTCTATTCTTTACTTCCATTTCAGGTTTATGCTTGTTTTGTTTTTTTCTCATTTGCTTTTTTAGTATGAGAAAGCACAGCCTTAGACTAGGGGAAACAGGCTTTGGAGCTACACCTCTCTACAAGAGTTCAAACCCGATTTTCTTCCATCCCTCCACCATCTGGAAGACCTTAGCAAGTCACTTAGACCCACTAGGAGTCACTTTCCCATCAGTCAAATGGGGACAGCGTCAACCCTGCCTCCAGGGCACCCCAAAGAAAAAAGACAACACAGCAAGGCCGATGTCACACTCCTCCACTAGTGGGCATCGCGAGACCGTCCTAGGACTGAGGATGGAGGGGAGGCTCGCCCCCGCCGTCTGAATCCTGGCCCCGCTAGCTCGGCCCCTGCCTGCTGCGCCCCGCCCTTCCTTCCGGGTCCTGCCCCGCTAGCCCCGCCCCCGCCCGCTGAGCCCCGCCCCTCCTTCTGGGTCCTGCCCCACCAGCCGGGCCTCGCCCTCTGGCCACGCCTCTCTGGCCACTGGCCGGGCCCTCCAGCTTCCAGGCCATGGCGACTGCAGCGGCTCCCTGGGCTCCCGGCTTGTGGCGGGCCTGCAACGCGCTCATGGCAGCCTTCTTCGGCCTGGCCGCCGTAGTGCAGGTCAGGCGGACTGAGAAGGGCGGGTATCGGGACCGCGGAGACGCCCGAGCAGCCAGTTCGCAGGGTGGAGCAGAATTGGGGTTTACATTTCCCGAACCTGCTGAGCCCTCTCAATCAGAACACGGATAAGTTTGTGTGATTAAGCAACATTCTGAGAGCCTGACCTGGCGGCCCCGCGTGCACGGGCACGCAGCTGATCACTCAGAAAATGGACCCAGAACCGCAGCTCTGGCACTTACCGAACCTTCAGCTCCCGTGAGACTGAATGGCTTTCTGTGCCTGGGAGGAAGGGGAAAACAGAACTGACACCATCTTTACCCTTCCCAGACCGCTTCCCACCCATCCTCAGGATAACCCCACTCGTTTCTTGAGATCTAGGGTCTTAAAACACCCGTGTGGTTCATAGGAAATCCCAAGCAGTTCTTTTCAAAGGATGTGTGGCTGTGTATTAGAGTTACCTGTTGTATTCAACTGGGAGTCCCTTCAGCCGTCCTGATGTGCAAACAGCTAGACAGTTCAAAGGTATTCAGTAGTACCCTTAGCTCACTGCAGCGCCTGGCAATGAATAGTAAACATAAAGTCAGACCAGGCATAGGACATGTCAGGTCTAATGTCAGCTAACATCTTAATGTTTTGACCATTCTAGGTGAACGATCCAGATGCAGAGTTCTGGGTGGTGAGTATGAGCTACTATATCCCTTCATTTGACACAACTGTACATCTGATCCCAGTGGCATTTGCCTAAAACCTGAAAAATCAACACTTTTGTGAGCTTGTTTTCCTAATTTTTCTCCTTGAAGGGAGAAATCACTGTGATAATATAACTTGCTGGAGGGTGTGAATTCGGGACTTTCTGGAGACATGGAAGTCTTTCCACAGAAAGAGCCTATCCCAGTAACTCTTTTCCCCTTGACAGTCATGTCACCAGTCATGACAATTCGAGTTCCTGTCATTTATTAAGGACCTACAACTTGCTAGTCACTTGACATGCATTATGCTGACCTTTATGACGGCCATCACAAGGATGTGCATTGGTTATATCCAGCCATGTGTTTTGTTTTGTTTTTGTTTTTAACCTCAGACCACAAAAGACAGTCTTGGAGGGAAACTGTATAATATCACTGAAGAAGGAACTCATTCTTGGGTTTGAGGACAGTGTTCACAAATGACAACACCAGGAATTACAGAGCAAAGTTCTAGTATGGTTTTGGTGTTTGCCCAGTAGAACCATAGTATGAAACTGCTTGTTATCCAGAGTCTCTAGTCCCCAAATCAAATGACCTTCTTTTCAGCACTTTGGTCCATAGCCTGAATTCCAACTGTATTTCTCTTCGGGAAGCTTCATGTTGCATCTCCAAAAGACTACAGCAAATAGCCATCTGTGCCACCATGCTATTCCTTAAAACATGCCCAAGATCCCACCCAAGCCCTTTCCTTCCCAAGCCCACTCCTCCTGTTGACCCGGCCATTTCTGTTCTCAGCACAACTACCCAGGCAGCTTTACTCAAAACCTATCATCTTTAACATCACTGCCTTGAGATGCCATCAGAAGTAAAAGTGAAAAGGAATTCAACAAAACCCATTCTAGGTATAGTTATGTGCACAGTGCCTGAGCATTCCACCACACTTGTATACGGATAATGGAAAACAGGTCACACGCTCTGATGGGTGGCCTCTCTCACTCCCGTTCAGTCCTCCATCACTTCTCACAAACAGCCTTATAAACTCTTGTGTCTGCCTCCTGTCTCCTGGAAGGCTACCTGTATGCCACTGTCTGTGTCTAAATATTGTGATTCCCCAAGCTAAGTTAGAGATCCTCTTTTTAGTCTTTAGGCTTATCATAGCATGGCCCCACCCACATTTCCAGCATGGCCTTTGAAGTCTAATCCAGAAACATTGGCTACAGTGCCTCGCCCCTACAGTGCTGCTGTCTGCCCAGGCTTCTGGAACAGTCTCAGATGCTGTCTCATCCCCCAAAAATGGTTACTCTGCCTCTCCCAGAGGATCTGACCATCTTTCCTTTGAACCCTTATTATAGCAACAGTGCGTTTGGCTTGTATTCTGTGCAGCCAGCTTCCAGGAGGAAAAGGACACATTCTCCCTCTTCTTAGGAGCCTTTACAAAAGCTTCCTCATAAAAATCCTCCCGAGTAAAGTGCAGAATGGATGGATGCACAGATAAACAATACTATGTTACTTTCTAGGCTCTGGGGACTAGGATCTCACCCAGCTCATTTCCACAGTCCCTGCTTCACCTTGTTCATGGAGGCCATTTGCATAGGATGCTCACAGAGGCAAATAGTGGAATGTGGATTATAACAAGGGGTTAGAAAAATACAGAACACATCACTTGGGAAACTCAAAGGGTCGCTTGGTGGTCAGTAGTGACACAGAGGGCCTGAGCTTTCTCTTCTCAGCCATCCTCATGTTCTCAGAACAGCTGCTGCGGCTCCAGCCCTCGAATCCCCAGAGAAGTGTATCTAACATAAGAAGAATCAAAGCAGGAACAAGACAGGTTTTCCTCCTGTGTTTTCTTCCCTTAAGTTGCCGAGAAAATGTTTGCTGAGAAGCCCCTTGAGCGGGTGCTGTTTGGTTTACACAGATCAGCATCCCACGTTGTTGGGGTCCCAACCTGATTCCGAAGCAACCATGCTATGTATGTCATCAACTTGGAACCTGGAACACCTTCCATTATATTTCTGGACATGGACCATTTCCTGCAGTCAAAGAGGTTGAAAAAACAGTTTTGCAGTGAACAAGAATTAGAAATGAGTCCAGGGTACATTTTTTTTTTTTTTTGAGCTGAGGATCGAACTCAGGGCCTTGCGCTTGCTAGGCAAGCGTTCTACCACTGAGCTAAATCCCCAACCCCATCCAGGGTACATTATGACACCATTGAATTAAATTCTGTTAATTTATGTGAGTGCTATGATACCTTTAGTTTTTCCATAGTTAAAAAAAAAAAATCAACAAAGGACTGGCAAGATGGCTCAGTGGGTAGAATTGCCCGTCCCAAGGCCTGACAAACTGATTTTGGCCCTGGTGACCTACATGAAAGTAGAATGAGAGAACCAACCCCACAAAGTTGTCCTCTGACCACCAGACACATACACTGCACACACATAGATACATACATACATACACATACAGGCACACACTCATTCACTCATAAGATAATAAACTAATTAAATTTATTAAATCCCAACAGTAACAGAAAAGAACATAAGTGCATTGCACTGGGTTCATATTTTTGCTGAGCATTGTTTTAGCTTGTATACTAGAAACAATTCTTTTCAGTCTCTCTGTCCCCAGTTTTTTTCATCTTCTTCTATTATAGTTAGGGGAAAGCATTTTAATAAGGATTATTACATCACAGTTGCTCTGAGAGACTTACTTAGTTTAAAGGATAAATTTGTTCCTATGTGTATAATATACTGTAACAAGGCTGTGTAATCTGTTAAGTCAGATATCTAGGCATTTGAATGCACATTTTAAAAATCTATGCCGGACATTTCTCACAGAGCACAATTAAATATTGTATGATGTATGCTTGCTTATTGTCTTCTGTCTCTAATTCTCTCTATCTCTGTCTGTCTCACTCCTGGGTAGCCGAGTCACAGTTTTCCATTTGGAATGGGACTGATCCCTGACTTCTCCAGTGTGTTCTTAGAAGAGCAGCAGTGGCCCCTCCAGGGACTTGTCAGAATGCTGAGACCTACTGTCGACCTCCCCAATCAGCACCTGCATTTAAATAAGACCCCAGGTGATCCTTACATGCTAAAGACTTGGAAGTGTAGGGCTATCCCCAAGGAGTGTGACTGCCCAACTGTCAGGGACAACCTGACATACAGATACCAATTCTCTGACATTCCAGTCACCAACTAGAATGGAACAGGAAGGACAGATTCAAATGCCAGCTCTGTGATCTAAATGCATGCTCTGCTCAAGGTGAAAACGGTCACTTAAAACAGACAGCTCTGATAACTTCCGAAGAGACTAAAGGTTCCTGTTCTAAACACTGCAATTGTGAAGTGGCTTTCTCTCTTGGAAAGTCTCCAGGTTTTATGAACCTATTCTCTCTTCTTGCCTTCAACTGCACACACACACACACACACACACACACACACACACACACACACACACACTCATGCTTTGCAGCCAGAGTTTGTTATGATGAGGCTTGGGAATGGGACTTCTTCAGGGCCAATCTTCCAACTCCCTTTCCAAAAGGAAGAGCCTGGTCTCAGTACTGGGCACATCAGGCCCACACATTATTTGGATGCTTTCCTGTGACCTCACTTGCAGAGGTGGAATACTGAATCACATCACTTGCAGGAATCATGTGGTCCATGGGGTCCAGCCCAGCAGGGCCATCTGGCCATTCCCAGCTGGTCTGAGACAGGGTTTCTCTGTGTAGCTTTGGCACCTTTCCTGGAACTCACTCTGTAGCCCAGGCTGGCCTTGAACTCACAGAGATCTGTCTGCCTCTGCCTCCAGAGTGCTGGGATTAAAGGCATGCGCCACCACCGCCCACATTCCCACTCTGTTTTTAAGAGAATGTTGTTTTATGCAAGCAAGGAAGGTCACTGGGTGTGGAAGTTGCTTGGGAGAGACTGGGAGGCCAGCATTGACTAAAAAATCTGCTCATACCTACAGCTTGGGGATGCAAAGCATTTCCTGGAAGCGCTGACCAAGGGAGGTAAAAATTACAACCTGATGTGGTGATGAGGTCACAGTAGAGTAGCAGAAGTTATCACATCCTCAGTGACTACTAAAGCAGGAAAATTGTACAGCGTGGGGACCACCGATCACACTTTTATTTGCTAGATCCTCTGAATGTAGCACATGTTGATCGTACTCCCATTTTCAGTGCTGGGAATGAGGACACTCTATTACTGGGCTGAACTCCCAGGTTTGGGCACACTTCCTAACCCTCCCATGTCCTTTTTGCTAACAGGTGGTGTACACGATCCCTGCAGTACTTACCCTGCTTGTTGGGGTTAATCCTCTCGTCACAGGTATGAACAGTGGATTCTCCGTGGAGGTTCAGTGAATCAGAGTTCTTAGAATGGTGAGAATCTACCTGGCCAACTCCCAAGAGAAAACCAGGATTCCAGGCATTTCCTCTCCTTTCTCATAATGAGGGGCTCCTTTTCACCTAGACTATCCTAGGAAGACTTCCCAAGGTCTTGGCGTACTGGCCATTATCAACAGAGACTCAAGACTTCTTGGGCTGATCGTTTTTATGAGATTTAGCTCAGAAGGGAGATGGGTTTGGTCACTGCACTCCAGCTAGTGTCAAATGGGCATCAATCACAGAGATAATCTTGTCTTCTCAAACTCAGGGGCAACCATTGCTACTTACGTATTTTTTTTCTTTCTAATCCAGATCAACTCCTTTACACATTCTTAGAACAACACCACTCCTGTTGACTACTTTCTTATTCGGGATTTATTCAAAGTCTATGTATACAAACTGCCGCTTGTGTATAGAAAGTGCTTATCATGTCTGTAACACACCACTACGTTTTTCATTGGTATATGTTGCTCCTTCCAATCTCTGTAAGTACATAATACTTACAGCAACAGCAACGTATGGCATGCTTTTATGTGTCTCCCTATTAGGTGCAAGCTCCTTACAAGCAAGACCATGCTTTATGCCTCCTTACATAAGCTTACATGTACTATTCCACTAGGCTAAGCAACAGAAAGTCTGAGGCCAGGTGCTGGTGATGGGCAAGTGGTGTGGGAAGTGTGGCTCTCCCAAGAAAGTGAGTGAATTCCCATAAAGCAAGTAAAAGAGAACACTTGCTTCTGGATTCAACCTGATTCAACAGCTGCAGGATATGCACTTGTAGGCAATTTCATCTGGAAGAGTGTGTCTACGATACATGTGCTGTTCTGTGTGCTGTGGGCTGGAGGCTTGGCATACCACTTCTTGCTTCATGCACAGCAGAACATCCTAAACGAGGAAGAAGGCAGGTGAGCAGTGACTTTTGCTCTTTGGAGGGGTGGGGCAGACCTGAGTAATCCTTTACAACAGCAACTCACCTGTGCACAATGATGATTTAACTCCCCTAAATGTATCAAGAGGAGCAGAGGCAGTAACAAAGACATTATAGGATGAAGAAAGTGTGGAAATGGGGGAGCCAGGATTCAAACCCAGGATCGCCTCTTGGATTCCACTATCACAGTTCTCATAGCTATTACCAATTCCACAACTAGTAAGGGCATAGTACAGTAACATTCCAGTCTGATAAGCTGGTGACATCCTGAGTCACTCTTAGGTCAAAGTCTTATGTGTAAGTGCAACCAGCCACCTCAGGAATCATTACTTTGAGTCAACCTCTACCAGCTTTGTTTGGTGTATCACATATTACCTCCCTTGGTCAGAACCATATATTCTGATCTTCCTTTGTTTGGATCCCAGCCTTACTAAGAGACCTTTACTTTCTTTCTTCCCTGCTGCTGGTCTGCTGACAGCATGCTCCAGAGACTTGTATGTTTGGTGTCACTGACAGGGTGTGGTTTGCTCTGGACCCTAGCCTATATGTTTTGGGTCACTATCTGGACACTCCTTGGGGGAGGGGGTGAGAAGGCATGGTGTCAATGACACAGACACAGGGAGTCAGGTGAGAAGCAAGCAGTGGACTCGTTTATTGTGGATATGGGGCAAACCTATATACCCCCTCCCAATTTCCCATTGGCAGCTGAAGATTCTCTTAGCTGTGTTTTCTCTTTCTCATGGCCCCTAGCATTCTGATGGTTGTGGGTCACCAATCACCAAGTGCAGCAGCAGACTTCAAGTTGGCTCAGTGGGAAGTAGCCAGCACACATGCCTATGCACACTACCTGGAACAGGGCAGCTTAGGTTTTATCAGGCTAGCTGGCTGCCCTCCTCCTATACCTATGTAAACTGGAGAGAAGGCCAGGCTGGGTCTGCAGATGGTGATATACACTAAATGGGTTAGCTTGAAGCCTAAGATTCAGGGTGGACTTGAAGTGGGGCCTCCAGTGTCAGTGACAATTTGCTTATTCTTCAGCCAGTGTAAGAGGCACACATATCTGACACACAACTCCATGAGTACATTCCCCTCAACACTATTAGTCTGATTAATATTACAAGCTCTTATTCTCCCTGCAATCTCCCCCAGCTCTCTCAGTGTGTGTTTAGATTTTTTTATTGGTTCAAGCTCCTGCAAAGCACTGACACCTTTTAAAAACATGAAACCAATGACAGATGAGCCCCCTGGCTGTCTTTGGGGCTGTACCACTCCTAGTGGCATGCAGGGGGAGAGCGGCAGCCACTTCATAATGGGAAACATGGTGTCTTCCAGGGAGCTGTCTGGCCTGGTGATCATCACAGCATGGATGGCACTGTGTCACAGTTCAGCAAAGTAAGTTCCACTCATCAGTTAAAAATCAAGGGCTCCGGGGCTGGAGAGACATCTCAGTAGTGAAGAGCACTGGCTGCTTTTCCAGAGGACCTGAGTTCAATTTCCAGCATCCACAGATTGGCTCATAGCTGGCTATCTGTGAGCTCTAGTCCCAGGGGAGTTAATGCCCTCTTCTGGCCTCCACAGGTACCAGGCATACAAGTGGTGCACAGATTACATGTAGGCAAAACACTCAACACATAATTTTTTTTTGCCCAAATGTATTTGAAAGTAAATGTCCTAATGTCCAAATATACATGGTTTCTATGTCAATTACACTATGTTCAGAGAATATGCTTTGTAGGATATAAGTTCTTTGAAATATGTAGGGAGTATTTTATGCCTGAGCTTATAGTATTTTTGAAATAATGTGTAAGTGAAAAGAAAGTGGATTCTGCCAGGTGTGTGTGTGTGTGTGTGTGTGTGTGTGTGTGTGTGTGTGTGCACATGCATGAGCACACACACATATCTGTTTGTAACAGGGTCTCATGTAGCCTAGGCTGGCCCCAAACTCACTATGTAGCAGAGGATGACCTTGAACTCTTGATCTTCCTGTTTTATCTCTTAAATACTGGGATTATAGGCATGTGCCACTACATCCTGGCTGGTAAGACACTTGTTAATGGCCAAATGTTCAGTTCATCAAGAAGATATAGCCATTCTAAATGTGTATGTCCCCAATAACATTGCCTCCAAATAGATATAATAATTGTTGCCAGTTAAAAACAAAAATTCACAATTATTTTGTGAGATATTAACACACTTCTCCTGTTCATTAATACAAACAAAAGGCAGCGTGGATTCATACGATATTACTTACACAATAAGACACTAGACCTCATGAACACTCTAGGACATGTGATTAGGGATTAAAGAATCTGGTGCTGGGAGAAGATGGTTTGGCTGATAAAGCACTTGCAGGGAAAGCCTGAGGACCTGAGTTCAGGTTCCCAGCACCAAGTAGATCTGTGCACTCATGTAACCCCAGTACTTAAGTGACTGGAGACTGATGGGTTCTAGGTGCTTGTTGGCCAGCCCATCTAGCCAATCTGTGAGCTCTGGGTTCTGTGAGAGGCCCTGCCTTCAAAAAAGGTGGACCTGAGGCTGGTGAGATGCCTCAGCAGTTAGGAGCACCTGCTGTTCTTGAAGAAGACCTGAGTTCAGTTTCCAGCACCTACATGGTATCTCACAACAGTCTATAGTTCTAGTCCTGGGGGATCCAATGCCCTTTTGGCCTCCAGGGGTACCAGGTAGGTACACATGTGGTGCTCTTACATACATGCAGGCAAACACTTATACACACAAAATAAAAATAAATCTTAAAACAACTGTAGACAGTGATAAGACAGTCAATGTCAACCTCTGGCCTACACACACACACCTGGCAGAATCCACTTTCTTTTCCCTTGCACATGATTTCAAAAACACTATAGGCTCAGACATAAAATACTCCCTACATATTTCAAAGAACTTATATCCTACAAAGTATATTCTCTGAACATAGTATAATTAACATAGAGACCATTAACAACAATAAAGTTAGACAATTGCTGTATATTTGGAAATTAGGAAATTTGCTTTCAAGTACATTTGGGCCAAGAAAGAAAGCACAGTAGAAATCAGAAACATCTGAAACTGAAAGGGGTAATGCTAACATGTATGAAATGTGGCTTAAAACCACGCTCAGACATCAATTCTGAACTTCAGCATGTATTTGATATGAGGGGTGAAGAGGCCGGGATGAATGAGCTAGGCTTCACGCTGAGAAGAACATCAAATTAACCCCCCAATAAGAAAATAAGCATTAGTAAACCAAATAAATGAAAAATTGACATACAAACATAAGAGAAACATAAGGCCAAATATGGATTCTCTAAAATTATCACATTAATAAGCCCTGGTAAGACCTAAAATTAAAAAATATATACATATAAGAGCAAGATCCTGAGGAGGCATAAATAAAAGAGACATTAGGCATAAACAAGAACACACAGCACAACTAATGGATTAAGTCCTTGGATAGCACTGCAAACAACTTTGTGCACTGTACTTAAAATCCTAGACTAAGTCAACAAGTTCATCAAACAGTCAGTTGACTTAGAGTTATCGTCAACGCTGGAAGGCATTTTAGTGAATTCCTATTCTGGACTTGATATATAAAATGTATTCATTTATTGTTGAAGTGCTGGAGACTAAATATAGGGCTTGTATATGCTAAGGCATTTGTTCAACCAGTGAGCTATATCCCCAGATTTCTTTACTTTTTGAGGCAAGATCTCAGTTGCCCAGTCTGGCCTTGAACTCACTTTCTACCAGGCTGGTCATGTATCTTCAATCCTCCTGCCTCAGGCTCCTGAGTAGTTGGGATTACAGGCCTGCATCACCAGATCTGTGGCCACCCTCTGGAGCATGGTCAACCTGCCAGGGACCACACCCTTAAAGAAAGCTGGCTCTCCCTCACTCCCGGTTTGTTGTGGGGTAGGGGACCAAGAGTCCCTCCTCACTCAGCTGGATCTTCCTAACTTCTTGGAAGTTTAGTTCATCACTTTTCAGTCTTTTTGGTAAGTAGGACTTCAATTTTTTCTAAATTTTTCCTAAAATACAACTCTAGACATAGATGGCATGGTTGAAGAAATCAAACAGGAAGGAAGAACCGTGCTGACCATTAGCAAATACCTCTGGAACAGGAAGGAAGGACTGTGCTGACCATTAGCAAATACCTCTGGAACAGGAAGGAAGGACTGTTTTCCAACTCACATGGTGAGGGCAGGACAACTCTATAACAAAATTTACCAAAACATTAAAAAAATAAAATTATAGTAACTTCACTCATAAGCACAAATGGCAAAACCTTTAAGGATTTTATTGTTATGAAAAAAAAAACTGTAAAAATCACTTAAAATTACCAAACAACAAACATTTCTAGAGAAAGCAATAGTAACAAGACCTTGGGAAAAGTTGAGCAGGGTGGTACATCTTCTTATCCCAACACTCAGGGGGTGAGGCGGGAGGATTGCTACAAGTTCAAGGCCAGCCTGAGCTACGTAACAAATGTAAGGCCAGCAAGGGCTACACAGCAAAACCCTGCCTCAAACATGGGAGGGAAAGATTTCTTATGAGGGGGCAAAAAAATAGGGAAAGATCAATTGTAGTATAATCTAATTAATCAATACTCCTCAGAACAGTGTTTGGAAAAGGCAATTGCAACATCTATCAAGATTAAGTATATAAAGATTTTATGCAAAATATTAAGTTCAATAAAGGGAAACTATTAAGATGCAATGTTTTACCAATTCAAACTGCATGCATATTTCCAAAGTGATTTGTTTTCTTGGACTTCCTAATCCTTTTTATTTTTCTAGGAATCCAGTTGGTGGAAGAACGCACTTGGCTATTGCCATTGTGATCACTCTTTTCCCACTCATTTCATGGGTCTATGTATACATAAACAAGGAGATGCGCTCCTCCTGGCCAACTCACTGCAAGACAGTCATTTAGATGAATTCAATGTTTAAATTAGTATTTTAATATTTTATGCACACTAATGTATAAATAAGCCAGGAAAGAGGACAGTTTCCTGGTTTACTTCAAGAAATCTGAGTGAATATTAGAGATGATTTAAGATCTTGAGAATTTAACAAGGTACCTACAGCATGCTGGAAGATTGAACAGGATAGATAAGAAGTGGGGTCTGATTCTTCAGAGGCCTCTTCTTGGACAGCAGGGGAACAAGCACTGAGCAGAAATCTGAGTTTGAATTCAGCTTTCGCACTATGTAACGGAGGCTGAACCATAATGTCCTGGTGGATATTTCCTTCTAATAAAGTAGGATATCAGAGCTCCTTGGTCACCGCAACCAAACTGATGTGAAGGCACTCTGAGACAAAACAGGATTACAAAGGGTTGTATGTGATTGGAGTGAGAGAGAGGCAGAGGTTGGGTAATATGCTGACACAGAGGTAACTCAAGACTGCAATTCCAAACTAATCCCAGTATACTTACCTGGTTCAGTGACATGAACCAAGGAAAGCTCTAGAACAGGTGAGCCAAATGATAGATAGGCTTGTCTTGCAATGAAAGTAGAAAAACAGTAGAAATTAAAGAAAGTATAGAAAAGAGGAATTTGGAATATAGAAAAGACGAATAGGGAATATTAATAATAATTTCTTACACTCAGTGAAAAATAAGATGGAAATCTATACATTTGTTTAATGAATATTGATATGACCACACTGAGAGCACTAGAGGGCAACACCATCCAACAGAACATCCAACATGTTGTTATGGAGCACTTGACTTGTGGGCAGGGTAACCAAAGAAGTAAATTCTTAACTTTTGTACTTTCAGAAGCAGATGCTCAATTGCCAGAAAAAGTTAAATGTGCTGGGAATGACACGTGTGTGTGTGATCTACAGGTGAAGTATTTGTAAGAGTTTAGTGTCAGGTGAATGCACTTCTGAACAAAACACAATAGAGTTTAGAGACATAAACACAGAATGTGTTTTATACTGATTGTATACTGAAAAAATATTTTGAAATAAATTAGGCTAAATAAAATATATTGTATTTACTTTTTAAAGTGTGACTGCTTGAGAGTGTTAGATTATTTAATTAGCTCACATGGCCTGTCAGGTATCTGGATGGGAAGTTTATCTAGGCTGGAATGAAACTCTGTAACCAGATGACTGGTTTGGATGAGAATGGCCCCCACATGCCTGAATGGTCCCCAAGTGATAGCACTGTTTGGGTAGGCTAGAATGTGTGGCCTTGCTGGAGGGAGTAGTCACTGGGAATGAGATTTGAGGTTTCAAAAGACTCAGGCCATTCCCAGTGTCTCTCCCTGCCTCCTCCTTTCATCACAAGATATAAGCTCTCAGCTGTTCCTGCCACCGTGCCTTCGTTCGCCATCACGGACTCTAACCATCTCAAAGTTTTCAACCTGTGGGCTGCAACCCCTTTGGGCGTCGAAGGACCCTTTCACAGGGGTCACCTGAAACCATCTGCATGTCAGATATTTATATTTCATAACAGTTGCAAAATTAGTTATGAAGCAGCAACGAAAATAATTTTATGGCTGGTGGTGACCACACCATGAGGAACTGTATTAAAAGGTCGCAGCATTAGGAAGGTTGAGAACCACTGCTCTGGAACAGCAAGTCCCAAATTAAACGCTTTCTTTGATGAGTTGCCTTGGTCATGGTGTTTTGTCTCAGAAATAGAAAAGTAAGGTAAGATGTCATTCAGGAGACTTAAGAAATGCTTAAGTAGAATTAGTACCTATCATGCCAAAAGAGTGGGAATGAGTCTGATATTCTATTCTATACCCTATAATGCAGCAGTACTCTGTAAATACTAAAGGGATATTTATTTTTGATATCAAGGAAAAATAAAATTTATATTAAAGCAAGTACAGTGCAGTTGGAGTCAATAAAATATATGTCAAAGATTTTGAGTTTCCCAGTGTCCCTTTAGCCTACATGCTCTTTATAACTTTCATATCTTCTTTAGAACTAGTTGTAATAAACCCAATCCATTTGGAAATTCAACATAGGCACTATTGATCCTCCAAATAGGCTTGATTTCTGTGTAAATGACTCATATGTTCAAAACATATATTAGTTCCCTCTATCAGACTAGTATGGCTGTAAATATACATAGTACCTTTTGCACCCTCAGAGAAGCATGGAAGACACTAACTTTTTGTCTGTACTTGTCTTTGGCCCTTACCAATGGAATAATTTTTATTTATTTTTTTAGGCAGGGTCTACATAGTTCAGGCTAGCCAACATGCCAGGCTAAACTCTCTCTTCTTTCAGCACTTATGGTTTTATTTCAGTATAAAAAAGATGTACATGTGAACTGTCAATTCATTTTCTTTGCTGTGCAGCCCAATGTTGGGTTTGGTGACTTTGCTGGCCAGCTATGGCTGCTCTCTGCATGAGGATCTGTGGTTCTTGGACGCAAGACTAAATGATCTCAGCACAGTGAGACTTGCTGTTTGTCAGGGGCACTTCCAGACCAGGGACTTCCCAAAGTCACTAGGCAGTGCTGTTTTCTTGTCCTTCCCATAATCAATACTGAGCATCAGGCTTTGGCCTGGAATCTTCTCCGCACCTCAATATTGCTGGATTTCTGCTAGTTATACTTAGTTTTGGCCTACTGGTCTGATGGTACAGAATGAACTCCTTGGCCTTCACCAGAAGGAAAAGGGCAGCCATGACACTGAGATGGCAGACACTGGCACATGCAGTGCTCTGGAGGGGTGAAGACCACACTCTATTTTTCTATTGGATTTAAGAATCAATAGCAGATTTAACACTGCAGTTCTCAGAATGTCTTCTCCCGTTTCCTATGCCTGCCCATCAGTTTGCTCTCTAGACACACATCCACAGCTCAGAAACCAAGAGTTCCTCTTATGCTTCAACTCTTCACCCCTCGCTCATTGATCTTCCCCACTCATCTAGACCATTCTTCTTTTCTTTTTTTAAAAGATTGATTTATTATGTATACAATGTTCTGCCTGCATGTATCCCTGAAGGCCAGAAGAGGGTACCAAATCTCATTACAGATGGTTGTGAGCTACCATGTGCTTGTTGGGAATTGAACTCAGGACCTTTGGAAGAGCAGCCAGTGCTCTTAACCTCTGAGCCATCTCTCCAGCCCTCCTCTTCTTTTTTCATGTCATCCTAAATCTCTTCAAATGAAATTCAAGTTTCTCTTCCACACTCTTTGTCCTTTTATATGTGGTGGGCAATTTCTCACATTTGTACTTGTGTTTTGTCCCTTTCCATCCTGGTGACATCAGGGTACACAGGAACACATGACAGTCGTGCCATGGCCAGCTGGGTAGTCACAATCCCTGTTACCTTACACTGTGAGATGAATTTTGCACATGAGATCAAGAGTCCTGACATGGACAGGTGCTTGGACTATCCAGAGGGCCAAGCAAATGCCCACATGCATCTTGAGAGGCTGCAAGAGACAAGAAAGAGGATTCTGTCCAGAGTTTCCCACTGGACTGTGGCCACACCCACTTTGTTTTCAGCCTGGTGAAATGATTTCACAATCCTGACCTTTAGAACAAGCAGAGAACAAACACATGTAGGGAGTGGCCACATACTCAAGAATTCACTGGAGCAGTCACAGGAAATGAACATGCCTGTTTTCTGGTAGGCACTTCACAGGTACTTATGGTGACCAGTATTTCAGTCTTTCAGCCCTGACTCAAACTCTACTCTTCAATGGTCTGTTTGCTGTTGAGACTCTCTGCAGATAAGCCTTGACACAAACAGCAGTGGGGTTAAATGGGCTCCATGTGTCTAGAGAGGAAATCAAAAATAAATCATGTTCTACACCATGGCCCCCCAGAGTACTAGGCATTTCAGACAGACCAGACGAGCCAGCACCCAGCACTTGGTCCTGGTGTCACTTGGCACGTCCCTGCAGGCCCTTCTGAGATGGAAGGAAGCACCACGTTTTCACCTGACTTAATCTCTCAGTTTTTCTTCACAGACCAGGCATGGCACCTTTATCTAAGTACAGGTGCTCTGAACCAAAATGGGGGAAGCCTGCTCACACGTCGGTAAGCAGGACAGACTTGCCTGGGCTTCCATGTATTAAGCTCTAGAGTTAACACAAGAGCACATTCTCCTTATAAAAGAAGAAGAAATTCAAATTAGGATAAATACAGTCCCTTACTAGACTACATGCCCACGAGTCTCCTTCCTGGTTTACTTTACTTTCCAGCTGCCAGTACTTGGATATATTATCCAAAAATAGCACTTCTGAATTTTATCTTCGCTTACACATACTGAAGCCACAAAGCCACTTTGTATACAAGCAGAATACTTAACAACGGGATTGAGAATTCAACTTTTTTCCCCCCCCAAGACAGGGTTTCTCTGTGTAATAGCCCTGGCTGTCCTGGAACTCACTTTGTAGACCAGGCTGGCCTCGAACTCAGAGATTTGCCTGTCTCTGCCTCCCAAGTGCTGAGATTAAAGGCAGGAGCCACCACGCCCAGTGAGAATTCAACTTATATATGCAATGGAGTAAAACACAAAACAATATCATTCTTTTTCTACAAAGACAGACAAGATAATGAGACTAAAAACACAAAGCTTGTTCCCTTTTGTAATTCATAATTCTGTCTGGAACTCTGCCTCTCCCTTTCAGTATCATTTTGTCAGGGTAGACATGAACTGTGCCGAAGGCCTGGCTATCCGGAGCTGTTTCAATAACTCCTTCAAGGTTGACATGATGTATACCAAAAGGATCCTCAGAGTAGCCACCATCATGTGTGTGACCAGCAAGGAAACACACCACACACTCGTGAGACCATATGACTGACAGGGCATCCATGTAGTTCCAAGCCAAGCACACGCTGTCAGAGGCCTCTGGGTAAATGGGAAGATGGCCTGTTAAAGAAAAATTAGGAGCCAATGAAATCATTTTCCATCAATAAAAGACTGAAAGCTACTATTCAGGAAAACCAAACTTAAGTATAATGCTTCTTCATCCACATGAAGACCAAGGTGACAATGTGCTCTGTAATTTTAGCACTTGGGAAGCTGCAGGAGGATTATGAGTTCAAAGTCAGACTGAGCTACTGAGCGGGCAATCTATAGCCTCATCTCTGGCACACAGAACGGACAGACAAGCAGCTGGTTCAGATATAAGGTGGAAGACATATTGATATAGGAAAATGATGTCCGAGGTCTTCAGAATCCCAAGGACATTCTGTGCCGGGCATCTATAAAGGCAGCCAGAAGTCAGCCAGATTCTGCACTGAAATCTAATCTCACTGATTTCCATAAATAAGAATGTTACATATAACGAATGATGTAGCTAAAAAACAGCTTAGGAGCTGCCCAGGGGTTTTGTTATATATATATATAAAAAAAAATGTCACTGAACAGAAACAGTTCAGAAGACTTTAAAGAACCTCTGGAGATCAAGGCTGCCAGATCCAATTTGCAGCTGAGAAAACTGATTAAAGCTGGGAAAGTTGACCTGGGGCCCAGAGGAAATCCACAGGCACAAGGGACTTCCAATCTGCAGAGCCAACACATTGGTTAGTCCGAGAGCATGCATCAGGCCAGAGTTTCACTCTGAAGGGAGGGAACACAGCTCACCAATCCCGGCTTCTTCCCAGTCACTTAGCTTTGTTCTGCTCCTGTTCATGTGTATTCTTACATTTAAACAAGTTCCGTTTTCTACCTACCTGTTTATAAGCAAGTGAGAAAGGGAGTGGGTAAGAGATGCCTAAAGCAGGAGGAAATATATGTTTGTGTCCTTCCCTTCTTCCTCCCTGACCCGAGCAGCTATAATAAGGCTAAGAGAGGCTAAAAGGACAGTCAAATGGCAGCAGTCATGCTCCTGTTCCATCCACTTTACAGACCGAAACACATTTATATTATCAACCACCTGAACAGCCTATCCTTTTCAAAGGATTTTCATTAATGATTTCACGTGTTACAAAGCTGAGAAAATTGTAGTTGACAGGTCTTGTTTGTCAACGCTTACAATGTTCATACCACCAAGAGGCAGCCGGCATCCCACCATCATGTGCATGCAGGCACACCTTCTAAATTGCCTACTGTCTCAGATGGCAGTGTCTCCCAAAACTGGTTCTAAATGAAAATAACAGGGAACTAATGCCTCTGCAACTGTGGTATTAACAGAGAACTTCAAGAGCGTGCCTGTCACATCTCATACTAATTCTGCTTCAGCTGGGTAACAGTTACCCAATGGTGGTGATTTCACTGCCAGCCAAGGCTCCTAAGGCTAAGACTTGGTGGGGCCTGAAAAGAATTCCTCAGTTAAAATTAGTACATAATTTGATCCCAGTTGGAAAAGGTCCACTTTGAAACCTACAAGGGAAACTCAGAGACACTAGCAGATGGCAAAATGTTTTTGTTATTTTACAATTCTTTTCCGATTCCTTCTTAAATGTTAAGACTTACGTTATATTTCAGTGAAAACTATTAAGTAGGACTGGAGGGATGGCTCAGCAGTTTAGAGCACTGGCTGCTCTTCCAGAGGACCTGGATTCAATGTCCAGCACCCACATGTCAGCTCACAACTGTCTGTAATTCCAGAAGAGATATGACACCCTCTTCTGGCCTTCTTGGGTACTGCAAACACACGGTACACAAAGATACATCCAGGCATACATTCATACATTAAATAAAATTATTTTAAAATCTCAAAAAAAAAATGCAGTTAAAGTATCTGTTTTACAGAAAGAGGATATCAAAATACAAATATTACTATTCTTTCATGGATAACTTCCCAATTTCTAAAATGTCAGTGTAACCAAAGAAACAATTTACATACTTACTCACAATCACCACCTTTTCCTGGTTCAGGTCTGAGAATGTAAGAACTTCATTCAACCAGTTCAGCTGTTCTTGGCTGAATCCTCCATTAAACTGGACATACTGGGGCTCAGAAAGTCCTGAATGAATTCAGCAAATTAGACCCGTGGCATGTCATTTTCTCCCGCATTTGGACATTCAAATTTAACTAACATAAAGAACATGCTCTTTAGGGATATCTGATCACCATCTTAAGAATGTAGAGCAATATATAAACACAGCGATGTGATTTCTAGTCTTGGTCTTCTCTGCTTACTACACTGGCTTCCCACTACACTGAAAATAGAACCCCCTTATTATGTCCTCTGAGCCCTACTACACAGCCTTATACCTGTCACCTTCACCCCAGTGACGCCTGTGCTACTTAATAATGCCAAAGTCTTATGCAACTTAGTGCCCTTGCACTTGTGTCTCCCTGTGCCTGCCAGCTCTCCACCCCACTCTGAGTGTTAATCCAGTCATCTAGACAACAGCTTAAATACTTGAGTCCATGGAACATCTATTCACCTAATCTAAAACAGCATCCCTAGTTCTTCACTGTAACACACTCTGTTTTTTCAGCACAGTTATCACTGAGAAGATAATCTTGCTTTTGTTTCATCTCTGAAATGTTCAATAAGGCTCATGTGTTGAAGACTTGGTCACCAACTGAGGTGTTAGCATCTTTTAGAGGTAGGAGCTAGTGAGGGAAGTCAAGTCACAAGGGAGACTACAAGCTCAGGCCCCCTTTCCCGACTTTGCTTCCTGGCTATGAGTAAGCAGCTTGCTCTAGTATGTATTCCCTGTCATAACATGCTGCTTCATCACAGGCCCAAATGCAACCAGGCCAAGGGACTACGAACTAAACCACCTCCCCCGCACCCTCCACCCAAAACCATAAGCCAAGAGACCTTTCTCCTCGCAAGTTGATTATTTTAGGAACTGATCAGTGATGGAAAGGTAACAAATATATTTATTATCTGCTCTACCTACCTACTGCTGTGGTTCTCTCCATATATATGTGCAGTGATTATGATGGGTACTCAATCTGTTAAATGTCTGAAGTTTAAATTACTTATAACCAATTTATGTGACATCAAGCGTGTAAGAATCCTGACCCTAAACAACAGTGACAATAAATTTTACCTTAATCATCCATCTTCCTGCTGAATAAAAGGTAGCTGAAGAATTTAAAGACAATGTATTAGATTCTCAGCTCAAAGCAATAATTCACCTTGGGGACTATTTAACTCCACATTTGGGTTGTGCTCCCTCAGCATCTTCATACACTGCTCATATTTTGAAGAAGATTGATCTATGCCCAAGACACTCAGGTCATAAGCATCAAGTAAAACGAACCGGAATTTAGGAAATGGTACAAAGTGATAAGCATAATAGTTCTCTGATGGCGTGGTCTCAGGATGCTGTACAATTCGGTCTTCTAGAAACTTGCTATTAAGTTTTGAGTTTGCTAAGAAGTCTCTATTGAAGTTATAGAATTCATGGTTTCCCCATGTGTGGTGAACTGGGGCTTTAAGCATTTTGAATGTTTGCAAGACAAGTTCTAGAGACTTTTCTGATACTTTATACTGTGCGTTGTAGCCATCGATGATGTCTCCAAGCTGGAGGACACAACAGGGCGTGCTGCGTTCTTTATTCCAGTCTTCAATGGCACCCTGTAAGTGAACAAGACTGTGCCGGTAATACCTCCGCCTGCTTCTTTGATAATTGAATCCATCTTCTAAATCAGCATACTGAATATCTGCTATAACTCCAAAGGAAAAAAGTGGCTCTGAACCATCAGCCAGGGCATCGGGGTCCAGCTGATCAGCCATTACCTCCAAGCAGGCTTCTAAATAAGCTAACGAGAGGGAAAAGATACCCAAGTTAAAATACTGCAGCTTTCCAATGGGTAGAAGAAAATGACAAAACGGGTAATTGACTAGACAGCAAGACAGAAGGACAAGTGTGTGGGCTCTAGAGGTCAATGTCTTAGCTCTAAAATGCTTCAGTTCTCATCCATAAAAAAGGTGATAAACTCTGTCACTCAGAAGACTAACAATTTCCAAAAGGGTACTATCACATTAACCATCAGTAATTCCAACTACAACAGCCAAATTGAAATCTGGAATCATTTCTCACTTTCCACCCATTTAAAACATGATGATATTGTTGTAGAATATTATTTTAAGGTGTATTACTTTTGTTTATGTTGCATTTGTTTAACTCTGTGAAGCTGTGTTACCGTGCCTGTCTAAAACACCTGCCTGGTCTAATAAAGAACTGAATGGCTAATAGCAAGGTAGGAGAAAGGATGGGGGGGCTGGCAGGCAGAGAGAATAAATAGAAGGAGAAATCTGGGAGGAGAAAGAAGAAAGAAGTAGCCAGAGAAGGAGGAGGACTCCAGGGTCCAGCCCCCCAGCTACACAGCAAGCCATGGAGTAAGATTTACAGAAGTAAGAGAACGGAAAGGCCCAGAGGCAAAAGGTAGATGGGATAATTTAAGTTAAAGAAAACTGGCAAGAAACAAGCCAAGTTAAGGTTGGGCATTCATAAGTAATAATAAGACCCTGTGTATGATTTATTTCGGAGATGGGTGGTGGGCCCCCCAAAAAGTGAAAAACAAACAACATGATAGTACACCCTCTCCTGAGTCAAACAATTACACCAGAACCTCACCCGTCACACTGTACCATCACACTCACACTCATCCACTCTACTTTCCATAGCAGACCTCCACTCTGGGGTACTCAAGCAGACCCAGTCTTTTCTCTTTGTTGATGAGCAGCCTGCAGAAATCAGTCTGTTCCTTTTTTGTATCTGAAGTATTAAGGAAAGACAGGATATGAAAAGAGGAGATAGTTTAATGAGGAATGTCCCTGGAGGCTCAGGAATTTGGTGTCCCAACCCCAGTTGGAGGCATTATGGGGAAGTGCAGCCTTGCTGGAATAAGTAAGCCACTGAGGGTGGACTTTTAGAGTTTAAAGCCCTTCCCCACTTCCAGTTAACTCTCTGGTTCATGTTGCTATTAAACATGTGATCTCTTAGCTTTCTGCTGGCCCACCATGCCTGCCTGCTACTACATACTCAAAGGGTGGGGGAAAGGGGTGTTAGAGATAGGGTCTCTATGTAGCCCTGGCTATCCTGGAACTCCTTGTGTAGATCAGGCTGGCCTAGAACTCATACAGATCTGTCTGCCTTTGTCTTCTGGGACTAAAGGCATGTGCTACCTCACCCAGATACAAAAGATTCTTATACCTCTGAACTATAAGCCAAAATAAATTCTTCCTTAAGATATTTTTTGACAATTTTTTTTAAAAAATCACAACAGAAAAGTAACTAATACCACGAAGAATAATTTTAAATTTAAAAAAGCCAGTGCAGGGGCTGGAGAGATACCCAGTGGTTTATAGAACGTCTTCCAGGGTACCAGAATTCCTAGCACCCATGTCAGAAAGCTCACACTACCTGTAACTCCAGCTACAAGGGATCCAATATCTTCTTCTGATCTCCCAGGGCTCTCATATATATGTGTGCATAATCACACAGAAATAAATAAATAAAAATACAAACACTATGACATCAATGTCAGCATTGTCCTTTCCATGAGCAGTAGGTGTTGTAGAATATTATTTTAAGATGTGTTACATTTCTTTATGCTGTGGAACATTTAATGACGCAAAGATGTGTTGCATTCTTTTATGTTGTATTTGTTTAACTCTGTGAAGCTGTGTTACTTTGCCTGTCTAAAATAGCTGATCGTCTAATAAAGAGCTGAATAGCCAACAGCAAGGCAGGAGAAAGGATAGGAGGGGCTGGCAGGCAGAGAGAATAAATAGAAGGAGAAGGGGAATGAGAAAAGGAGGAGGAGGACATCAGGGGCCAGCCACCCAGCTACACAGTAAGCCATGGAGTAAGAAATAATGAAAGGTATATAGAAATAGAGAAAGGTAAAAGGTAGATGGGCTGATTTAAGTTAAGAAAAGCTGGCAAGAAACAAGCCAAGCTAAGGCTAAGTATTAATAAGTAATAATAAGCCTCTGTGTGTTTGGGAGCTGGGTGGCAGGCCCCTAAAGGAGTAAAGAGTAAAAAAACAACTAACTACAAGCAGGTCATGCTTCAACAGCTGAATTCTAATTTGAACTAGTTTTCCTAATCTTAGAATCAACCCCTGTCCTTGAACCAGAACAGAAAACAAATCTTTTCATTCCACACATAATCTCTATTAAACTTGGGAGAAGAATCTCATTAGGTTATTTATAAACAGAATTTGTAACTCTAAAAGAAGCAAGAATACTAAGGATTATGACAAACATAAAAGGCCGAGGTGTTAAATTATCAACTCTTCTTATTATGGGGGGAAAAATCCCCACTGGAGTTCTATGTGAACTGATTAAAATCTTCTAAAAACTCCTCTGACTTTCTATAACCCTTCTGACTCCTGCTGTCTAGCTCCAGAGCTCTAATCCCAGTTCGAGTGTACTCCTAGCAGAGGCTCCAGCTCCATACTCAGCACAGGTGTCAGACCTCAGCTGGACGTGAGGATGAGGGGCTCTCCTCATTCTGAAGCCATTGTCACCGGATGGCTCACTCGGTAAAGGTGCTTGCTACCTGCCAAGACTAATGAACTGAGTTCAATTCCTAAGACCCACATGGTGTGTAGAATGAACCCCAGTCGCCAAGTTGTCCTTTGACCTTCCAACGTGTACTGTGGCACACATGTAACCACAAACATATGTCCACAAAAATATTTTCTTTCTTCTTTAATTTTTTAAAGAGTGTCTTTGTTAGAGCATTTTTAAAATTTGTTCTCTTCTCCCATAGTCTCCACTTGAAAACCCTACTAGACATCAAGTCTAAATATGTGTGATGGGGCAATAGTTTCTTAACCCTCCTGTAAGCTAAAGACACTCTTACTGGAAAGCTGGAAAACTCAAATAAAATTGCAAGAGACTTGAATTTCATCTAACTTAGCTGAAAATCTCTGATCTAATTAGTTTTAGGTATTTGTGATTCCAAGTACAGCTGAATAGGATTACAGCAAAGGCCATGCAGCAACAAGTCTGTCCCATGAACATCATGCCCAAAGCTCAAGACAAAACTGACCCGAGAATGCCCTTCTGGCTGTGCCAGATGAAGCCATTTGTTGTGATATTTAAACTCGTAAACTTGAGATGACAGTAAGTTCTGTGGATCTCTTAAAGAAGATTTAGTCCCAATTGTAGTAGAACATTCTTTGGACACTGCAAATATATATTACGCTCATTGTTAATAAAAAAGCTGATTGGCTGATGGCTAGGCAGGATTTTGTGGGCAGAGAGAATGCTGGGAAGAAGGGTGGAGTCAGAAGAGTTGTCAAATAGACAGAAAGGAAGCAGGACATGGAGGAGAGGTAAAAGACACAACGAGCCTTGGGGCTGCATATAGATTAATAGAAATGGGTTAATTTAAGTTGTAAGAACTAGTTAGTAATAAGCCTGAGCTATCAGTTGAGCATTTATAATTAATACCTCTCTGAGCAGTTATTTGGGAAGTAGCTGGTGAAACAGAGCTGATCTTGGAAAACTCAGCCTATACCCAAAGATCTGATCTTCTCTCCAGGAAGCAGATGTTATTTTTGCTCACTTAACTGTCATTTCCTGTTGTTTGTGTAACTACATCCCCATTTCCTTTCATGCCAATTTCCCTTCAGCGGTCGTATTTTGTGACCTCCCAGTTTGGGCTGACCACCTAGGGGTAGGTGCGCACCCCAAGCTGGGTCAATGAACTTCAGCTTAGTAACATCTGCCAGGAGCTTGAGCACAGCTGTTGCAGTCACTTTCACTAAGCTGAAAACTACAAATGAAAGGACTAAGGTAACACTGTCTTGTCCTGACTCCATTTTGTATCTGTTTAGGCACTCTTCAACCCAACCCCCCTCAACAGACACATCTATCTTGGCAACACATTTGGGGTTTCCCATGGCCCTGACCATGGCCCAGATGTATTGACTCTTCAGCCCAACCCCCTCAACAGGCACATCTATCTTGGCAACATATTTGGGATTTTCCATGACCCTGACCATGGTCCAGATGTATTTACCAAAATAATTAATGTTTATACAAACTAAAGATATGCTTCAATAACTGATAAAGGTATAAATCAAAATTAATTGTCATGCTGTGACTGAAACAACTATTATGTTTTGCTGGCACGGATGTTGCAAGGTTACCTTGACCCTTATCTAAGATTGATGTACTTGTGGTCAGTGTGGTCTTTTGTCTTTAAAAATGCTGTCGCTGGGCGGTGGTGGCGCACACCTTTAATCCCAGCACTCAGGAGGCAGAGCCAGGTGGATCTCTGTGAGTTTGAGGCCAGCCTGGTCTCCAAAGCAAGTTCCAGGAAAGGCACAAAGCTACACAGAGAAACCCTGTCTCAAAAAACCAAATAAAATAAAATAAAATAAAATAAAATAAAAATGCTGTAATTCCGGGGCTTTGTGTCCTTGAGGTGCTAACCCACTCTTGGTCAAGGCCAAAAGTAAAGGACTCCAATTTGGCCTTCTATGCGTGGTGGTCTGTAACTTTCTCATTCATACTATAACACAACTTGAGTTTTGGGGGAAATTAGCAGACAAAATCTAACATAGAAGGGAGCAAATCTGAACGAGGAAAGAAAGAGTCCTAGAAACTACTGAATACCTGAACCCACTGGTCCCTGCTAGAACTACCTTTGTCACTCACTGTACCACTGTCACTTAACAGGTTCCCCTGACGCCAAAGGGCAAGCCTAATTACTTCCTGTCAGCTACCTGTCACTTTCTACTTTACACTGTCAGTATGGAGAAACAAGGGACTAGGTTAAGGTTTGACAACTTTCCAAAGAAAAGTGGGGGACAACCACATAAGGAGCGCACACTTCCGGTCTGTTCTGGGTAGAAATCAAAACTGCATACATATGGCCTTTAAAACGAATGTCAAGGCTGGGCGCCATGGTACATGCCTGCAATCCCTGGATTCTGGAGGCCAAGGCAGGAGGATCATGATTTCAAGGCCAGCCTTGGGCAAAATATACCTGAGCTCATTACAAAAATTAAGGTCAATGAAAGGGGGGGCAATATATAGTGCTATTAACTAAATCATCTTGAATAAACAGAAAACATAAAATTAGGCTGGTTATACTGGACACAAGGGATCCTTGGTCTCAATGATAAGAGAAGTTAATTAGGGGGTGAGAGATGGGAGGGTGTCCAGGCAAAAGATTTAACTGAAAGGAAAAAGGATGGAGGACCAAGCCAACATACAAAACAAGCATTTTACTGGGCTGCTTGAGAGGTGCTGGGTCTGGCAATTCTTCCTACTCATGATGTACTGGGCCTGAAACTTAGGATTCAGGAAATACTTAACAGAGAGAGCTCATCTTCCCTTTTGCTCTGCCTCGATGTGTAATGTAAGCAGAGCAAGAGATTACTTCCGCTCATCTTCTACAGACCCACCTCCTCTCACCAGCTACCCTGAGTTCTAAGGGCATTTCTAAGAGCAGCCTCTCTCCTCAACTAATGTGAGCTGACTGGCAGAAAAACAGAGCCTCCGAAGAGACAAAGCAGGTGCCAATTCCCAGCAAGTCTTGGGTCAGCTCTGACTTTCAAAGAAAAAGACTGCCCACGGGGGATAATTACATCATCTCAGTGTAACTACTTATACCTCTTAAAAGCCTCCACACCTAACTGTCTGCCCTCTCACCCCTCATATAAGTCAATTTCCTTCTACCAATTTCTGTCTCCTGGTTTTACTAGTAGATCTGAAGCCAACAGAAACTTCAGATTTCAGTGACAATGATGATGGAATTTGCAATATGCCTTCAGAGATCTTTTTCTTGTATAAGATCAATGGCCATTTCATCTCTAGAGACATCATAGTATCACCTAGCACCTGCTAGTGTTTTTTAACTTGTGACTTGTGGGAAGAAGAGATTAAGGAGGTATGCGGGGGGGGGGGGGGGGGGGGGGGGGGGGGGGGGGGGGGGGGGGGGGGGGATCATGGTCCACACACCACTAACACGATCAAGACTACTTTCGCTGGGTAACTAGTAATGAGTGAAGGCCTGAGAACCTGTCTCTTATCCTCATGAGGATCTCTGCAACACCTCACTGTGACCTGTTAGGGAAAAATAAGAGTCCCAGGGAAGGACCAGGCTATATTCAGGGACAGACAGTTAGGAACACAATGAGTAACGGTGGGCAAAGAGATCCAAGCATGCAGAGAAATTACTCTTTGCTAGTTCTGGGCTGTGCTTTATGGTTCGGGGAAATAGATGCAGGGGGGCTTGAGAGACTGGCCCTTGTGGACAGAGACCAGAAACTCAAATCCATCTCCCGTGGGGAAATGGAGACTAAGCAGTCAACTGACAGGAATACCCGTCTCCACAAAATACCCCCCACATACACTCAGAGAAAAGTATTTCACAATGTTAGTTCAATAAGAGGAAGTGCGAGGCAGGGCATGCTTGTGATTAGGCACAAGAGTCTGGACCTATGATGAGGCAGGCATGTTAACAGTGTCAGGAAGTTCGAAAACTTCCAGTTTAGCCCATCCCACTTAAAGCAGCCTAAAGTCACATAATTTAAGTAGTCTCATCAACTAATGATAAAATAAGCATCAAATTGTACTATGTATTTCCTGTCTCTCTCAAGAGAAGTTCCTAAACTGTAAACAAACCCATTGACACCTTGGTTGTTTCTTTTAACAATAAAAGTTCCAGATTTACACTACACAACATGCTACCTTTGCCAAGGCTCTATGGAGTCTGGCTTAGAGGTATTACCAGTGACTCAACAGTTGGTTAAATTAAAATACGGTATCTTATCCAATAGATAAAGACACTTTGGTAAACAAATAAATTGGAGAGTATAGGCAGAAGTAAAATTCCTGGCTAATAGAATTTAATGGATGGGTTGAAATCAACATCAAACACAACGTTAATTTGTATGTGAGTTTGATCACATACCCTACAACTGAGTATAGAGCTGAGACTTCACCCTGGGCAAAAACATGTGGATACAGAAGGGGATTCCAAACCTTTCACTGAGTCATCTTCAGGAAGAAAAAATGAGTTCTGACTGACAATGACCCCACATGCTGAGGAGAAACTGAAGAACTCTACTAGCTACTCTCTTAAGAAGCCCATTCCCATGCTCTGTGGCTCTCCTTCTTCTAAGCACCTCTTTCCTGTTAGCTCTCATGCTTAAATCTCTAAAATCTCGTAATACAGCTCCAAATATGCATCGTTCTGATTCATCCCGAAACTCCTCTGCAGCCGAGAACCCTAGCTTCACCAGAGCAGGTACTCTGAAGAGAGGGCCTGAGACTGCCACAGGAAGCAGCAGTAGCTGAGCTTCCTGCTCCTGCCTCATTGAGGCTGCCGTCTTTCCTGGCAGCCACAAAGGGACAGTCCCTAATGTACTGTTGCTTCAAGAGCACCCCACGCTAAGATCTCTTGTACCTGCAAACCATGAGAAGACCTGAAAACTCTTTTCAGACAAGAGAGAAAAGTCCTTACCTTCTTAAAAACAAAGCTAAGCCTCGTTTTAAAGACCTATCAGTAACTGGAACCTTACTGACTTTCTGTTGTGTCTTCTTCACTGTTTTTCTTTTAGGTGCTGTAGGTATAATACATACTCAATGGCTACAACCTTACATCATTGCCTTTTTTAAAAAAAAAAAGCTACTTAATCATTAAAATCTTTCTTGGGGACTGGAGAGACGGCTCAGTAGTTAAGTGTGTTTGCTGCTCGTTCCTGAGAGACAAGAGTTCAGACCCCAGCATCCATACTGGATGGCTCACGACTAGCTGCAACTCTGCCTCAAAGGATCCAAAGCCCTCTTCTGGTATCTAAGGGCACCGCACATACAGGCACATCCATGTAAAATAAATCTTAAAAAAAAAAAAAAAAAAAAAAAAATCCACAGGCTGGTGCAATTGCTCAAAACTCAAGAGGGCAGACTGTTCTTGCAGAGGATCGGAGTTCAGTTCCCAGCACCCACGTCAGGTGGCTCACAACCACCTGTAGCTCAAACTCCAGGGGACCTGTCACTTCTGGCCTCCTTGGGCACCTGCACTCATGTGTACACACATGATTTGAAATCTTATTTAAAAATAAACCAGCAATTCTTCTTAGAGTTGTTCTTTGTATTTTTCCATACTCTCAGTATATAATCAGGTGTATACTTCTTTCAATCCTAAACCCAAAGTTCAGATAAGGACAGTCGCACTGATGTCCCCTGACAGTCTGTCAATAGCACAAGGAGAACCTGTGCCACCATTAAAGTGCTGGGTATATACACCTGACAACCGGGATCTGTATCCTCAGTCCTCCAAGATTTACACACCACAATTAAATCACTGTAGAGTTCTGTGGTAAATTTTAATGATTCATTAACATCACAGGTCTCAGCTACCATGTGATTAAAAGGCCTGGTTACTTTGGTACTAATCTTAGGACCAGGTGGAACAATCTATTGTATGCTTTATTGTTTTATGTGGTTTGCTGTGGTAAGTAATGGCATCCTCTCACCTACATTCCCATGGAATGATGATCTTGTGATCTCCATGTTCAGATTCTCTCACATCCCATATTGATCCAGCTTGACAGTTAATGGCTGGATAGGCAGGGTATATATCCCTGTTCAGCAAATAAATTATAGGAAACATATCTACAACCACCATCAACACTTAAAATTAAGGGATCAAAGTCTCAGAGGGGAAGTGAGTTAGGAGACATGAAAAGGAATCTGGATGGAGTCTCTTGCCAGCTGAGAGTCAAGCTTTTCCCACAATTAATAATGTTTGCTGTGAAGTTGCCTACAAAGAAAAGGTATTCCCTTTACATAGAGATTTCAAATAAGAATGTTAAAACAGCAATGAACTATGCTTAAAGCCTAAGCACATATCACCTTGGAGTATGGTCCTGCTCCTTTCCCAGATATAAAGCTACAGGTTTCTGGAAATTTTATAAACAAGACTATAAACTTTATTTGCACTAAACATGTCCCAAGGCCCCTGTGTAATCCTATCTAGTGCACTCCAGGAGCCAGTCTATAATCTCATTTCCCAGAAAAATGAAAATAAAAGGAAAAAGCTGTTTGACAATCTCTTGAGATATACCTTCAGAAGCCATCCAAATCATATAATGACAATTAAGTGTGACTCTCCTGAGAGGCCCACATCATGCTTTTGGGTGTATACTCTCTTCCTTTCTATTAACCCCTGTTCTTAAAATGTGTGTTAAAATCTCTTCATAAATTCAACAATGCTTTATTTAAAAAAAAAATTCTACTTACTTTGAGCATAAATTTCAGAGTTTCCAAATCAATTTGAGAGGAAACAAACACCATTAAACTACAACAGTAATTACTGTGTTAGAGAGTAACACAATAGGTCAGACGGTCCAAACACTGAGAAAACAGTATCATGCTCCAGTGCAACAATCACTGAAGCAATGCTGGGATCCCCTTGTGTGTGTGTGGGGTGGGGGGAGGGATGGATGGGATGGATTGCTTTTCTTAAAGGGTACGGGGTGTTTTACAAACTGACACACCACCACAGAGGCAGGGTGGGGAGGGCGGGGTAAAGGTTGCTGACACTGAGACATAAGCAAGAGCAGGTAACAAGCTGGGGATCATTTGCCCAGCAGGTGCACAGCAAATAAGCAAATGAACAGAATACGAGTTTAAAATTCTCAAGGAACAAAAAATAAGTGTATGGCTGTAGTCAACTAACCAAGCAGTCCCAGACGAGGTAACTTGTTTGTTTTTGCTCTTTATTCTTTGCTCTTTGGAGGCCCACCATCCAGCTCCCAAATAAATCACACACACAGGGCTTATTCTTACTTATAAATGCCTGACCTTAGCTTAGCTTGTTTCTTGCCAGTTTTTCTTAACTTAAATATTCCTTCTACTTTTTGCCTCTGGGCTTTTTCCTTTTCTTACTTCTGTAATTTTATTTTCACTCTTACTCCGTGGCTGGCTGTGTAGCTGGGGGGCTGGCCCCTGATGTCTTCCTCCTTCTCTGGCTACTTCCACTCTTGCCAGATTTCTTCTTCTATACATTCTCTGCCTGCCAGCCCCGCCTATCCTTTCTCCTGCCTTGCTATTGGCTGTTCAGCTCTTATTAAACCATCAGGTACTTTAGCCATGAAAAGTAACACAGCTTCACAGAGTTAAACAAATGCAACATAAACAAAAGTAATAACCTTAAAACAATATTCTACAACAGAAACCTTCAACAAACTTTAAAATCAGGGGTGGGTGGCTGTGAGACTTTTTTTTTTTTTTTTTTAAAGAAACGAGCCACTGGAGACTAAATGAAGGATGGGTATGACGCAGCATACACTTTTGCAGTGCCTTGCTCTCAGGCGGCTTGTAGTTAGAAGCGCCGGCACTTTGGTCTTAAGTCTTCTTCTCACCCTAGAGACTCAAAAGTCATATTAGTATTTTTTCTAGGTCGTGGATTATTTCAAACGTCATGCGACGACTTCTATTTTAGGGTCCGAGACCTCGCAGCTCTACCTGGACGGTTTTTAGATTGTGCAGGAGGAGGGGATCCCCAGTCTCCTGCAACTGGAAGGAGCGAACCCCGCTAGCCAACCCGGGGCCACCTAGTCCCATCGTCCTACCCGCCGCGATGTTCGTTTGTTCCAGCCGCCGCCAGGCCCAGCCCAGAACCCCAAGGCGGGGACCTACAGCCCGCACCACCCGTTTCCATCCCGGAGAACCACCTACCGCTTGCAGCCGCACAACCCTGGACTCCTTGACAACCCGCGGGTAAACCGCACCACCACCGAGACCTGAGGCTAGAGCGGCCTCGCCCGGCTTCCGGCGGAAGCGGAAGCTCCTGCGGAAATGGAGGGGCGGCCCCAAAGCGGCCCGGTCTCCTAAACTCATGGCGGCATTGGTGCGGGCGCCTTGTTCGGGGATGCGGCCGCAGTGTCGCCAGCTCTGGCTTCTGTTCTCCCACGGCCATGGGCTTTGGGGTACGGCAGGGATTCCGCGGCCGGGAGAGGCGCGTTGCTGCCTGGGGATCCGAGTCTTCAGCTCCGTGCCGCCACCGCCGGGAGCCAACGGACCCGAGCCCAAGGGCGGCCAAGCCGGGTCGCGCCGCTCGAAGCCCGGGGTGAGTGGAGCCTTTGGGGCTTGGCTCTCTCTGCAGCCTGGTATCTCCACATCCCGCTAGGTCACAACCTCAGGAACTTCCTGGAGTGCCCTGAAAGGGTTATGGAGTCACTTCCTTGCTTCCTGGTCAGCCTGTAGCCCTAGCCTTGACAGAACTATTTCCTGGTCAGCCCGTAGTCCCAGCCTCAATAGAACTTGAGAACCTACTCCCTCTCCGCGGAGTTACCCAACTCGGGCTTTTGCTCCAGAAAAAAAATAATAATAATAAATTCTGGGTCTTAAAAATCTCAACTTTATCATGATTCGAAAGTCAGGGCACTTTTATAATCTCACTGAATCCCCCAGTTCAGTGTATAAGTTGAAATTGAAACAAAAATGTGGACCTCTGTTGCGTTTGGGTATCCCCTACCCCTTCTTTCTTTTCTCCCTTCCTCCCCTGTTCCTTTTTATCTTCCTCTGGTTCTAGTTCGGTCTCACATTCAGAGCCTCCACCTTGCTTGTGTTAGTTTGGGGAGCGGGGGAAATCTTAGGCACAAGTAGCAAACAGTTTACGTCTTAAAGAGTACAGTATTAGCATAAGCCAGTGATCAATTACAGGCTTTGTGCTGTTTGTTGAGAGCAGGCCTATTATATCTCAGGTTGGCCTAGAACTTGATATGTAACCGAGAATGACTTTGAGCTTGATCCTCCTGCCTTCCCCTCCCAGAGTGCTAAGATTACATACAGGTGTGCTTCGCCACACCCGGTTTTATGCAGTGCTTGGCATGGAACCCAGGGGTTTGGGACATGCCAAGCAAGCACTCTACCAATTGAGCCCCATCTTCAACCTTTAATTTGTTTTTAAATGAACTTGGGTAACTTTCCCCTGGAAACGAGTGCTTTTGTAGTAGATATAACTGTATTCACAGAAACTTTCAGGATTTATCCCACAGTAACCTGAAACATTCAATGTATGTAACAATGGTTTGTGTGTATATACTTGCTATGAAAACATGTAATAAATACAGCATGCTTAAATGTTTGTGTCTTACTTGTTTTATTGTTGAAATCTCTGCCCCAGTAGCCTGTGTCTTGGAAGTCTTTAGCATTGACTTTTGCCATTGGAGGATCTTTATTGGCTGGAATGAAGTACTTCAAGAACGAAAAGATAGAAAGTAAGTGGTTACTCTGTGACCATCTTTTTTGTTTTTAAACTTTTTTACTTATTTATTTTTAACTGTGTGTATGTGAGTGCAGGTGCATGAATGTCCTGGTGGGAGCCAGAAGACCCCTTTGAGGAGTTGGTTCTAGTGTATTCTTTCCTTACGTGGTGGGTTCCTGGAATTGAGCCTCAGTCCTCAGGCTTTTAGAGCCAGCACTTTTATCTACTGAGCGGTTGGCCTGCCCGGTTTTTAAACTTTTTCTTTAAAAATAATTTTACATTTACTAGTTTAGAAGAGTTGTGAAGATGGCAAAGTCTCCATATACCTTTCATCCAACCCCTCTCTCAGTGTTGACATCTTAGAAGGTCATGGCACAACTAAGAAATTAAAATTGATGTAATTAACTGGATTACAGCATTTAATTGGGTTTTGCACATTTTCTCAGTGTCTTTAACTTTTCAGGGATGGAATCCAAAATGACTCAGCTTAATAGTTTTAAAAGACAGCTGTAAATATGTTGAATGTGGGCTGTTAGGAGTCCCGAGGGTGGGAACAAAGATGACTAAGATGTCCAACTGGTTGTCTCTTTAGTTTCTGAAGATTGTAAGGTTCTTAGGCTTTCCCTGACTTACATGACCTTGACAACTTTCAGAATTGTTCGTCAGTCTCTACTGGTCTCATCTTTCCTGGTGATTCAGTTCAGGCCTTGCAGCCTTTGACAGGGTTCTCACAGAAGTGATACTACACCAGTCATTGCATCCATCAAGTACATTATGATTTCTCCTTGTCTTGTCATTGATGTTGGATCATCTAAGACAATATTAGCCTTGTATAAATTATGTGTTTTATGATACGTGTCTGTGTGTGCTATTCTCATCACTCTGAATTTATTCATTTATTTTTGTCAGTATAGACTAATTATTTGCTACATATTCAGTGGGTTGTGAGCTATTCTCTTTCTTTTAATACTCAAAGTAACTCATAGAGCTTATGCTTAGTTGTTTTGTTTGGTTGTTGGTTTTCATTGTCAACTTGACACAACCTGGAATCACTTGGGAAGAGTCCATAAGGGGTCATCTAGATCAGGTTGGCCTGTAGACATACATGACCTTGGGGATTGTCTTGCCCTAATTGACTTGGAAACACCCAGTCTGAAAGTGGAAGGTAGCCCCATTTCCTGGTTTGGGGCCCTGTACTTTATAAGAATAGAGGAAGCTAGCTAAATACTATGCATACATAGTTTATTTCTCTCTCGTCTGGGCTGGGTGTGATATGACTAGCTGCTGCAAGCTCCTCACACTAGGACTTTCCCACTATTTCCAGGAATTGTTAGATAAAATAAACCCTTTCTCATCTGAGTTTCTTATTTGTTTGGTTTTTTGTTTTGTTTTTGAGACAGGGTCTCACTATGTAGCTCTGGCTGTCCTGGAACTTGCTTTATAGACCAGGCTGGCCTCAAACTCACAGAGATCCGCCTGCCTCTGCCTCCTGGGTGCTGGAATTAAAAGTGGGTTCCACCACTGCCTGGCCCTGAGTTTCTTTTTGACAAGATGTTTTATCCCAGCATCAGAAATGAAACAGGAACAGAGCTTGTTGTTCACACAGGATCCTGTTTTCAGGAGTCTTTGGGTTTTACCTTCTGTCACTGGCTCTTCTTGTACTTAATTTTTTCAGCTTACTTCAGCATTTCTCAACTTTCCTTTAGTTGGAGAATGCCTATGTAGTGAAACCATAAACTCACTTCAGTGCCTGATTGTCTTCATATTACAGAGATCATTCCAGTTTTCCATCCATAGTTCTGGTGTCCTTCCCATTAGTAACACTCTTATCCCTGTTTGTTTGGTTTGTTTATTTAATTAATCTCCTGTATAAAACTAAGGTCCCATCACCACTGCCTTTCCCATGAAGCTGTCTCTAGCACACCCAGCCTCTAAGCTCCTTCACCCCCACTCTGAACAGTTTAGGACTGGCTTGTTCTAGGAGAACACATTTTACCACTTCATTGCGGTGCTTGCCATGTGTTAACAGCATTTAATTTTCTTATTTTATGCTTATTTTTCTGAAAACATTTTTGTTAGTGTCTTGAAAACTGATATTTCTTGTGTATTTTATACCTCCTACTCCGCCTACATACTGTTACTAGTATTATGCTAACTCTGTCAGATATTTCAGTGACTTTTTTGTTTGGTACATCTCTTTAAGAGCTGGAGCAGCAACGACACCGCACCATTGGAAAGCCTTTACTAGGGGGACCATTTTCCCTCACCACTCATGATGGAGAGCCCAAAACTGACAAGGACTACCTGGGCCACTGGGTATTGATTTATTTTGGCTTCACGCATTGCCCTGATATCTGTCCAGAAGAACTAGACAAAATGATTCAAGTTGTAGATGAAATAGGTAAGAAAGCAGTTGCTAACTGCACTATTTAACGGTACTGTTTCTCACTGTGTTAGACAGGATGTTGTCATTATTTGGCCTGTAAGAACATAAAGTTTCCATGTTCAACTTGATGCTTTGATTGCAGGACCCTACTCTATACCGAAGGAGTCGTGTTTGGGTGCCAAATGTTAGATCACTTAGAAATGTCAGCATGCCTCTATCTCCTATTACTGAAGCATTCTCATTGTGTTTCCCTGGTGATGTTGATGGTTGGATTAGGAAATCTGGAGTGATAAGTGATATTTTATTAGTGTGAATTAAAAGGAATTAGAAGGATTCGTACCTCTTTAAATTGTTTTGGTATATTCATTCTTTATTGATAGCTTACCTTGTCCTTGAGATAGGGTAGGAAAAACTACAGGAGTTGGATTGCATTAGGAAATAAGATGGCTACGAGAAGTGATCTGGGGTAACAGCATTTATGTATCAGGAGAGGTGCTTGATGGGATGTCTGGCTCCACCACAGACAGAAACTATTCCTCTACTCCAGATAGTCTCATCTGTCCTCTGTTCTCCTGACTTTTTGCTATAGCAACACTTTCTCCGAGTGTTGTGTCTTTTCCCTATGATGACTATTGACTAATTGGAACTTTTTTTCAGACAGTATTCCATCCCTGCCAAATTTAACTCCACTTTTCATCACCATTGACCCAGAAAGGGACACACAAGAAGCCATCTCAACTTACGTGAAAGGTGTGTTTTACTGATAATTGCACATACTTACTTAACAGTTTGCAGTAGCAAAGCAAAATAGACAGCTGGTATTATTAACAGTTTTCAGGTAAATAAAAGGTCAGAGTTACAGCTTGCTTTAGTTGACACATGAGAAGCAGTTTTGCCCATCCTTGGTGCTGTGCTCTTCTGTCACAGGAAGGGTTGGAGCTTGAACTTCAGGTATACCTGAGTTAAGTGGGGATGAGAGTGCATTGCTCCTAGCTTTGTGTTTCACTGTTCTTTTGTTAAAATGTAGAGACGTGCCTCAGGAGTGTGTTCAGTGGGAGATTGTGTGAATATATATATTTATTTATTTAGACTGGGTTTAATTATACCTTTGACTGCCCTGGAAATCACCATAGACTAGGCTACCTTGAACTCA